CAAAATGAACGATTTTTTTTCAGCGAATGAGGATGACAAATCCAAACCGGCCGGTTCCGACGGAGAACGAAGAGGCGTCAAGAGACAACGCGACGAGAAAGACGAGCACGGCCGGGCTTACTACGAATTCCGCGAGGAGGCTTACAACAGCCGGTGGGTCGGGGAGGGCGAATCCTTCCTCTTCCTTTTCTTCTTCCTCGTCTTCTTCCTCGCGGCTTTTCTCACCGTCTCTTTTTATTTTTGGTTTGTTTCCTTCTCGCCGGTAGATCCAAGTCGCCGCCACCGCCGGAAGAAGAACCGAGAGAAGACGACGACGAAACCGTCGTCATTCTGGACACCTGTACGTAGGCCAAGCTCTGCGTCCCTGCTGGTTTTTTGGGGCGATTCGAGGCGAATTTGGGGGCGTTGCGGCTTTAAAACGGCGCGAAACGGGTCGGTGGCGGGAAATACGGAGAATCCGATGGCGCCTTTGAGGCTGCTGGGGCGCGGGGAGGATTTTTTTGGGGGGTTCCGTGGGGGAAATTGAGTTTAGCGGGGTGGTTTTTCTTTCGTTTAGATACTTCGGATCTTCATTTCAAAGCCAGCAAAGATCGTTACGGGGGTCAACCCCTCTTTTACGAAAAATTTCCTTCTCTCTGGTCCGGAGCCCGGAGCACCCACGGAGTCACCAAAGGGAAAATCTGCTTCGAGGCGAAGGTGGGGGAACGAACGGGGATTGGGAACGATTCGGGTGGTGGGGAGCCCCATCCCAATAAAAAAAAAAAAAAGGGATGGGGAAGAAAACGAAAAACTTGGGGCGCGAAGAGCTTTTCCTGCCGATTTCCGGGTGGGTTTTTTTTTTCCTGTTGGGTTTAAAAGAGATTTTTTGGGGGGTCCCTTTCCCCAAAATCCGCCTTCACCCCGGTTTTTTCCGCAGGTGACCCAGTACCTCCCAGTGAAGGAGGGCAGCACCGAGATCCCCCTCTTCCGTGTGGGATGGTCCGTGGATTTTTCCCGCTCCCAGCTCGGTAAACATCTTGTGGTTTTTTTTTTCCCCCCCAAATCGTGTGATGTCACAGATCCGCCCTCGTCACACCTTAACGAGGTTTTGAGGTTGGTTTTTTTTTTTCTCGTTAAGGGGAAGACGAGGTTTCACTTTCTTCTTTGAGAATACAGAACTGTTTAGGCGACGACGGACGAGGGCTGAAGGTGGAAAACGGGCAGTTTGAGGAATTCGGGCAAAGTTTCGGGGAGAATGATGTCATTGGCTGCTTTGCGGTAAGCGGAGAATGATGTCATCGGCGGGGGGAGGCGGAAAACGTTGCGGGAAGAGGGGGGGGAAAAGGGAAACGTAACGGGAAGAGAAAAACCGTGAAGGAATTTTCCCGACGCGCTGTGGTTTTGGTGTTTTGTTTTGGTTTTTTTTTTCCGGACACAGAATTTCCAGGACGAGGAAATGGTGGAAATTTCCTTTTCCAAAAACGGCGAGGAAATGGGAACGGCTTTTCAAATCCCGAAGGAATCCCTCGGCGACAGAGCTCTCCTCCCTCACGTCCTCTGCAAAAACTGCGCCGTGGAACTTAATTTCGGCCAGAAGGAAGAACCGTTTTTCCCCGTTCCCGAAAATTACGTTTTCATTCACTCCGTCCCCGTGGAAGACCGAATC